AGAGGGGGGGAAATCAGATAAAATATCTTCAAGTTAGTCAATATATGATTATGAAAGTGTCATCATTTGGTAATTTGAGAAGCAAACTCCTACTGTGGCAGCCACGTTTACGATACAAGAACGCAACACAATGTGATTAAAAAAAAGTATTGTAGAGATAAATAATATAATAGATTACACGTAAAAATATGAAATAAAACATTCATTAAATTTGGATTTACTAGCATATTTATAAATTAATTTCTCTCTATATATAATTCTCGAATGCGCTGAGCCTACGTGGCTGCTTCTGATGCTTCGGAATCCTACTTGGCGAAGAATCATGCTTCGTAATTAGGTTTGGACAAATAATATTGATATATTAATAATTAGTAATCTAGGTTTGGACATTCCAAAAATATTATTTAGCTAACTTAGGTATTTTAATATCATTGTACTAATATAACTCTTTAATTCCTTGTAATTTTACATAACTAGTACAGATCCCGTGCGATGCACGAGGTGCACAAAATTAAGGTCATTTATCAAGTCTTATAATTATATAAATGAATAAAGAAAAATGTACGGGATATATATAGTACATGACCTATAAGGGGCCAAACTATGAACATGAGTGATGCACGGGGTGCACAATTTTCTAGTATGTGTAATACAAATACATACCGTATGCACGGGACAGAAGCACTAAATGAGTTATTTCCACAGATCTTGCCCGTTAAGTAGCTCCTGAACACGGGCGCACAATTTGTAGTACGTACTATAAAATTAGAATAGATTTCCATACAATTAGATAATAAATTAGATAATAAATAAAACCTTTTTTATTTAGTAAAGATTTTACGTACTTTTTTTTACTTATCGGATGTTATGAGATTTTTTTTTTGTTAAATCGGTTTGATGGGATATAATACAAATACAATTAGAGGATTGAACAAAATCAGAACAGATTTCTATACAATTAGATAATAATAAGGAATTAGATAAAGAAAAGAAAAAATTAGATAAAGAATTTTGAATCTACTTTTTTTTAGTATAGATAGACTTTACGTACAAATTTTGACTTCACCGATTTTATGAGATTTGTTTTGACAAAATCAAAGACGAACACTGAAAAATGTTTCTATTAACATTTACAATGTGTATTTAATGTTTTTATTTTGGCAAATTATTCTTTTTAAGTGTGATATATAAATATTAAAAATACTTAAAATATTTTATAACATCTATAAAAGCATCTAAAATATTCTATATTATTCACAAATAATGTTTGAAGCTACCTAAATTTTTCTAAACTACCCGTAAGGAAAATATGTCTAAAAATTCTTCATTTAACCTCCATATATGTATATATATAGAGAGAGTAAATGTGTAAAAAATTTATACAAATAATATTTAAAAGTATCTAAAATATTAGTAATTAGACATGTGAAATTTAGATTTTTAAAAAATCTATATAGATATTGGATTTATAGTAGTAATTAGGCTTTTATTTATTTACCTTTAAAGTTGTTACGATAGATGATGAATGTGATTCTTTTGACTCGTGGAGATGAAATTTTATAAGTTGGGTTATGAAATTTTCTTAAACTCGTCCATATCTATGCGATGAGTTTTTAAGCTGGTTATATAGATTTAATTTTTTTTTTTTAAAAAAAAAACTTTCATAAATTTTTTGATTTGGTATTTTCGGAGAGCTTCATTAATTTAAAAGTATAAAATAAATAAATAAATAAAGTACAACTGCAAAAGTTACAGCCAATTGTATGGAGAATTAAACTAAATCTAATTTTGTAGGATACATTAAATATTGATTAGATTTTATATGTAAAATAAAATAAAAAATAACTGGAATAATTTTACGTGTTGCAATATTTTTATTTAAAAAAAATTAAAAAAATCTTCTTTTACGTATTGCATACCAACATTTTAAGAACTATATGAATATTCCTAAATTAATATTGCATACCCAATATTTTAGGAACTAATTAAATGCTAATTTGATTTGCATACCAAAAATATTAGATGCATTAATTAAATGCTTGATAAAAATAGCAAATTATTAATTAGAGTTGACTATTCTACATACTACATTTAGTAAATAGTATAGCTTTTAATATAAGTATAGATGAGACACTAAGTGACTAATATATCCCTGACTTTTGATTTGTTTCCTTCAATTAGCGATTGAATTGTAAA